CAGCCACCACCCTTCCTCCCTTCCCAAGGACAGAGCTGTTTATTTGATTTGTAAAATGCATAGAGGTTATGAAAATAAGCACCTGTAAATAATAGATGAGATGGAAAATAAGCTAACAAGTCCAAGGAGGCAAGGGAGGAGGGTCAGCCAGTCAGTTGTCCCTCAATTTCCCCCCTGTGCCTAGAGGTCAAAGGAATAGCAGCCAGCAGCTTCCCATTCTAGAGAGAATTCTAGGGAGGCTGTGGTAGGGAGGCTTGGCTACAGGAAGTTCAGAGCTCCTGGAGTTCCCAAGCCCAATAGATAGGTTGGTTTAGGGAAATCTGGATTGAAATAAGACTCTAAAAAGAAGCTGGATATTGTGATTTTTTTCAGGTTCTCTAATTCTGGACACAGCATTGCATTTTTAAGAACTGTCTCCACACACAGGCATAAACTGAAAAGCAAGCATTTTAAATCCAGTTAAGTTCAGTTAGAAGTGTATTTTTCCAAACCAAAAGATGAACTTTTTCCAAGTGTGAAGTAGCCAATTGTTTAGACTATTGTAAAGAGGGCTGCCGTCTGAGCCTGAGAAAACCGGCAGGGCACACCTAAATCTGCAAGAAAACAAAACGCACCACCAGGAAAGAGGGTGTCTGCCAAAGGCCAAAGGGCTGGATGAACAAGACCCAGGGTCAAAGATGCCATCTGTAGCCTCACCTCAGAGGTAGGCATAAGCCCTGGAAGCCAAGAGCTGTGCTGGTATTTCCAGCACAGCCAGATGTTTGCCAGGTTGAATCTGGAGGCAGAATCCTAAAACAGATCCCTAATCTCATGTCCCTTTCCTTGAGCAGGATTCGGGAAGGGAAAACATTACACAGCACAAGAGTCCTTTGCAGGGGACTAATAGAGTCATCAGTTGGCTTTGAGAAAGTCAGCATAGAGGTGAGTGTGGCTGAGGCCTGAGGGCGGCTCTGAGAACCGGAAGCGGCAGGGGGCCCAGTCCTGGAGCCAGCTCCTTGAGGGTGGAGGAACACCTGAGTTCCTCACCGGAGACCCCTGTAGTCAGGTTCCAGTACCCTGCCCAGTATATGACACAGGCCGGAGAAGTAAATACAGTAAGAGACAGAACTACGAGAAAGCAGGGTGTCGGGACGACCAATGCTGGTACAACTGCCAAAGGCCCTGGCCAGTCCCAGCCATTGACTTTTATTGGCAGTCACTTGGGGTAAAGGCAATGTGCAGTTTCTATGGAAATTAATGTAAACAAGGCTCCTAAAGGACAAGACAAAGCATTCTCAAAACAGGGACAGAATAGACAAAACCTATGGTTGTAATTAGAATATTGTCCTTCTAGTCAGAAGGTTTTAGTTGTGGGTACAGAACTTTAGTGCAAGTTACTGAGCTTGGCACATAGACTCTGGCCAGACCCACTTCTCAAAACAAGCCAATTGTGGTGTTAATTCTTTACAGCCTGCTTTGGGCATAATCTGTATTGCAGTCCTCTGCAGTTCCCAAAGGAAATGAAGTTTGGTTAGCACCCAATTTTCACCTAGAGGGATCCTAAGAGGAGAACCCCTTTGCACTATGCTCAGATTTCGAACCCATGGATTGAGTGCTGCTTCAGGACACTAAGTTCATGGTGGTCTGAGCAGAGGCAGCAGATGAGGACACCAGACAGCTATGCAGCCTGCACCAGATAGGTAGTACTGTAGCCCAGCAGCCTTTCCAGGACAAGAGCCATCCGGCTCCAGGCTTCCTGTTGTTTAAACTCTTGGCAGCTGCCCACTACACTCAGACCCCTGAGTGTCCAGGGCCACTCTGTTAGAATGGCTGCTGTTCCTGCCTTCTCTTCCCACCGTACTGGCTGCTCCCAGCTCCCACCTTTCCTGTATAAGGTGTCCCCTACCAGTTCCCCTTTATCTTTGGATCCCAAGTCCTCTCCTCTCTTCTTGGGGTACCATCTGTGACTGCTCTCTGCATACTCTCTCAGCAGATCACTGGGCCCCATCTTTGGAAGTTCTCACCTTGGTTTGACACTTGTCTTCCTCTAATGAATTATCTCATCTATGTTTCCTCCTCCACACAATTATAGGCTTCAGGAGAGCAGAGACTGGATTTTTTGGCTTTGATGTCTTTCCCACATCAACATGTGTTTTGTGCATGTGCGCACGCACGTGTGTGTGTGTGTGTGTGTGTGTGTGTGTGTGTCTTCTATAAAAATGCTTCAAGACAATTTGAGTATTGTTCTGGATCCAGCAAGGCAATCCCTGCCTTTTATTAGCAGTATTAACCCATTTGATCTTAGTGTAACTTTATTTGATTAGATTTAGATCTACCATTCTGCTTTTGTTTTCTAACTGTTTCAACTTGTTTGGGGAATATTTTCTGATCTTTTTGGCCTTTTTATGGCTAATATATATGGCTTGTAAAAATATGAATAGAAGAACAATTATTTTTCCATTTTTAGTACATATATACCATTTCTGGTGCTCTTCATTCTTCCTGGAGGTGTGAATCAAACACTAAAGCTATTTCCCTTCGACATGAAAAAAAAATCTTCCTTTGGCATTTTTTAGAATAAAAGTCTGTTAATGACAAATTCTCTCAGTTTCTTTTTGTTTGCACTCCAGGGCCTTCAAGAATTTGTTTTCTGAATATTTCTCCCCATGTCTATCATTATCTATGGGAAGGGTGATCTGATACAAGGTCCTTCATATCACCTGGAGCTTCTCATTTCATCCTCACAGAATGACAGGATGACTAGGATGACAAAAAGGAATCTGTTCTTGACAGACAGTAACTTCTTTTATCACTTCCCATATTCCAGGCAATTGGCAAGGCCATGCTTGGCAGGGAACAGATCAGGTCCAGCTTCTAACTTCATAGAGTTTATAATTTAACCAGAAAGCCTTTTCTCAAGCAAAGAAACTAAATTCCAGAGAGCTCATGAACTTGGGCTAGGCCCCATAGCTGAGAAAATGTCAGAAATGGGACTTAAAATCCAAGTTCTGGCCTCCACAGCCACACCCAAGCCACAGTGTATGTGACTTGAACTACACCATTAAGGCCACCCCACTAAGACATCTACCTGTGCATCTAAGGACTCTTTGCCGAGCACCTGTCAAGTATCATAAACTCTTCTCCACACAAAAAAGTACCATCAAAAGAAGTAAAAATAAATAGAAACCCCTGCCTTTGTTTTTGCATACATTCTAGAGAACTATTGCTTTTTTATGTAAAGTCAGATGTAAATGACTTGGTGTTAGGTATTCTTCAGAAACTGAATTTTGTGGAATTTGTGTTTTGTGTTTACTACGGAGGCACGTAACACCACACACTGCTAAATTAGGCTGATAAAAAAGGAAACTATTACAATGAAAAGTATCTTAAATAAGACCACTTTACTCTCTGGTGAATGGACTGTGGAGACAATACTTTTCTGATTTTTTAATAAATTTATGCAACAAAAAAGAGAATGAAAAGTGAGACCTAGATGCATATGTTTTTCTGAGTCCTTATTTACTCAACAACTACCCTCTCCATGAAAACAAGTGCAGATCTTGATTATATACTATTTTTGTAAGCATGTAGAGAAAGGAATAATGAGCAGAAGGCATATAAAAAGAAGAAGAAATAATATTGGTGCCAGTTTTTCACAATTCTCTTTTCTGCTGTGAGGACATTTAATCATTCATCCCCCGTCTCTCCTCCAAACATCTCAGACCTCTAAGACTCAGTTAAATGACCAAAGGTAGCATGCCATCTTTAACTGTAAACCGGAGTGCTTTCTTCTAAGTTTTTCCCCTCAAAATCACCTTTTCTCCACCTTGGTCCCCTCTGTGCAGATGGTCACTTCCTTTGTGGCAAGGAAATTTCAAACATCAGCCAATGGGTAGATAAGGAGCTGAGGGGTACCTGGGTGCACCCCTCAAATCACGTCACAAGTAACTATTGTGGACAAGAGGGTCTGATAGTCAACCAAAACAGATCACTGCCCCGAAAAACATCAAGGAGCTTTCATGAGGACAATCAGGGCAAGGTGTAGGCTGTGTCAGTGTCTTTTACCCGTACTGATATACAGACGAGCTCTTTTCATTTGCAATTAAAAACCAAAGTTACCATATTTCATCCTTTAGCCTTAACATAGAAAATAGTGTTAGTAGTCACTTCAATATGATTTAATCATAACAAGTCTTTTTAAATATTTCATAGCATTATTATTCATTGATTCATCCAGTATTTGTTGTATGCCTACTGCATGCTCTGGGAAATGCAAAGATGAATTTATACAAAGGCACACAGAGGACCCTAGGGAATGGCAAGTGGTAGGAGCAAAGACGGTGTAGCAAGATGGAAAGCATGGGGTATGATGCTGAGAAGGTGCCCAGGAAAGGCCAGGACAGGAGCACAAGGTGAAAATGGTCAGTATCAGTGTAGCTGGAGAACATTTTAAAGTCAATTAGTGGGGTCAATGTTTCCTTTTTCTCTCCAATACAGTGGTTCCACTGTGTTATTCTCCCTCCCTCCTTAGCCATATAAATAGGAAGCAAGCCTGCCAGGTAATGCGTGAGGGGTCTTCAGTGCAGCACCCTATTTCATCCTCCCAGAAGTACTGTGAGTTAGGTTATTTTATTTCTACCTCATAGAAAAAGAAACTGAAGAGCAGAAAAATCAAGCAAGGTTTGTTTTTTGGGGTTTTTTTTTTTTCTGTCTTTGCATTGACCTATATCCCTAGCTCTTTGTTATTTCTTACTTTGAGGCAGAGCCTTACTAAGTCACTAAGTTGCTCAGGCTGGGTTGGAGTTTGTGATCCTTCTTCAAGCAAGTTTTTATTCTCTCAAACTAGTAAATGGCAGAGCTCAAGTTGAACCTGGGTAATTTAATGTCAAATTAACGACTTACGTTGTTCTTATTCATGACGGTTTAAAGCAATGACTCAAAGAATTTAGGGAATAACAGGGAATAACGACCAAAGCCTGTGGGCACACATGTCAGTAAGCACACTGTCCTCTTTTTTGCAGAATTCAGTGGGATTTTATCTGCACTTCCTAGTGAATGACCCAGCCCACCAAGTCTCCTGATCTCCTGACCTCAGAACAGGTAGTGTGGAAGGTAGCACACATACAAAGGGAAGGGAAGGTTCAGGAACAAGTTGTACATGTACTAGACATGCTGACCTATTTTCCCTCCTAACTTAGGAGTGGGCTAGTAGTCAGTTGGAGTTACTTCAAGTAAATATAAAACTGATTAAAATAAATAAATAAAAGAAATGTGGGATAGAAATGAGTAATGAAAATGAAGGTAGGGCAGGAAGGAAAAAAAGAGACAGGTGGAGAAAAAGAAATCCACAGAGAGGAGGAGGATGGGCAGAAAGCAAAAATCAGACTATGATTCCAGCAATCCAGCCCCAGGAAATCCTATGAGGCAGCAAAAATGAGACTATTGTATTTTCACTTCTCCACAATATGCAAATGGCTCCAGTTAGCTGCTAAACATGTTGTTATTGCGTTCTGAGAAATTCTCTTCATAAGATGTAATATTTTTGTGGCAATATTGTCAGCGATACCAGATTGCTTTTCTGTTTTGGTTAAGCTTTTATCTGAGTCTAGTGTATGTCATCTACTTAGAGATTCCAAATGATTGCTTTTATGTAATTTTGTGTAAGCAAGAAATAATAACATGCTTAGAAATGTGAGAAATGTGTTAACCTTCCCATTATTTTTCAGTGCCCAGGAGAATTAGAGGGTGGGCCACAATGGGGGATGTAATTATTTCTCATGATGAATTTCTTTTCATGCTAATATTCTTGAGTGCTGCCTATCTGTGACTGGCCACTCCCGTTTGTCTGGCTCCTGCTTTCACCCCTTGTCTCTCCTGCTCCAGGAGCTCTTCACATAGCTAAGGAGACTTCAAAGCTGGTGAACAAAGGATTGTGAAATCTGACATTTTTGCCACTCTGGGTCATGTCACTCTAAAGCCACCCATATTTAACAAAGAAGCTTGGCTCCGTATCCCTTCTCCCCAGCCCCAACACACACACACACTAACATCAGATCAAATTACTTTGCTTAGGATGTCCCTAAATTTTTATGAACTTGGATGGCTTCAGTGACTGAGACAACTACCCCCACCCATCCAAGATGAGTCCAGGAAGAGGAAGGCAGATGCAAAGAATGTTTTGCATGAGCCATTTGTTGGGAACAAAACAAATCTACCCAGATCACATCCCCTAGAATCCACAGCAGCAGACCACTTGCTTCAAGACAGTAACCAGTGGTCAGGAGCAAGAGTGATTTTTCAGGAGTAAGGATTTTGAATAGAGATCTAATCAACCACAGGCGCTGTTGATTTTAGGGCTGATATTATAGGTCAAGTTGGCTAGTTCATGGCCTCTGATACTTGATTGATTATTATTCCAGATGTTTCTGTGACAAGTACATCTTAGGCATGATTAACTTTGAATCAGTGGGCTTTGCGTACTGCAGATAGCCCTCCACAAAGCAAGTGGACCTCATGTGATAAACTGGTGCTCTTCATAGACGAAAGACTTAACTCCCCAGGAAGAAGAACATCTGGCTGCCTTTGGCTCCCAGCTGCGAAATCAACTTTCCCTGAGCCTGAGCCTCTAGCCCGTGCTGCGGGTGTTGGACTTGTTCCCTTGCCCACTTTCTTGAGCCAACTCTTAAGAATAAATTTCTCCATATGCGTGTGTGTACACGTATATAGGTTCAGAATGCATAGGTATGTCTCACAATCCTTGGTGACATACACACATGCTCATACCCTTCCTGGAGGCTCTGCTTCCCTGGAGTGCTCTGTCCGGCACAGATACTGGGGCACACTCCCCAGTGATGGACCACTCAGTGGCTGGCTCCCTTGACCAGTGCTGAGTCTTTGCTGGTGCCAAGGTTTGGCCAGACAGAGTAGGTAGAGTAGAAGTCCATTCTAAGGTCACTTCCTGAATTACAGAGATGATTCCTTTGATGCCACATCAACAGAGATGTGTGGGTAAGTTAGGGTCTCCAAGGGGAGAGTCTGAAGATAATTCTTGCCCTGAGTAAGACCATACGTGAACGTACCACATGCATCCGTTTGAAAGACTTTCTGCTCAACAGATGCCCTGAAGTGAAAGGGACATTGAAGCAATTAAGGACAGACAGCAGTCCCAAGGTTGATATATTCTATTAGAGGATGAACCAGTCAGTTGTTGCCATGTAACAAATGCAAGATTTTCACTTTTTGTTATTATTCTCAGGTCTGTGGGTCACTGAGCAGGTCTGTAAGCAACCTGGGGCTGGCTAGGGCTTGTGCCTCTGATCATCCACTCCAGCGCCTTGTAATGAGTAATGTCCACCCACTCGTGTTAGCTGAGATCTTAGATGTGAGCCATTCTGAGATCAGCTTGGCCTTCGTCACAGGGCTCAGAGAGGATCCCAGCAGTGAGGGACACCCTAGGGTGTGCATAAGCTCCAAGCTTCTATTAGAGACATACCACCTTTACTTGACTAAAGTCAGCCACCCCTCTAGGCCTAGATTCAAACCTGGAAAACTGTCTACATTGTGGTGGGAAGAAGCGTTTAAATAGGGGGGGAAGGAACTTGTGCCATCTCACCACATAACCCAGAAGTGAAAATGTGACCAGCCCTGCTAACCACCTCTGTGAGAAATGTACTAAAAGAAATGATAAAAATAGCATTGAAGTTGCAGTGGTCAACTTGGCCAAAAAAGAATTTCTTTCTTACTTAGATTTGAAAATAGTAACTGGAAAATGTTGAAAAAAGTCTGTGAAATGTAAGAGGCCTAGGATTTTGGAAATGGAATGGATCCATGTGGAAAGAAGATTCCTCAGAAGTTGGACAGGACCTCTCAAGGGGTGGCCATCAGATGTCCCCAGATCCTGGGCACTCACATTGCTCCATGACAAAGGGTCTGATGGGGAAGGAAGAGAGGTTCCTTCTGTCACTTTGGACCATGAATTTTAAATAAATCAAATGATTCAGACTGCTTCTTTGTGTCTGATAAATTATCCATAGTAGCCATTTACAAAAAAATAAGGACTGAGACTCATGTACTAGGGAAATGGGATTCCACTGTCCCTTCAGCCTAACGGCACCTCGAACATGAACCCTTTCTAGATGTGTGAAAGAAATTTGGAGGTATGAATTCAAGGCTCTCATGCAAAGAAGGAAACTTCTCCCCACCCCATACCTAACGTTAAGCTCCAGGCCATCCTTCCTGCTAAACTACTCATACCCCAAGCCCAAGAGTTGTGCTTATGCAAGATCTTTCTTCTACAGACAAGTCCTGGGGCCCAGAAAGCAGCTTTCCTTCCATGGCACATTCCAGATCAGCCCATCACACCCTATGATAGCAGTCTGCACAGAGCCCTGTCTGCCCCAGAACTTCAGCCTCCAGCAGGTGCAGCACGGCAGGTCATAGGACATGTGGAGGTCAAGGGATATATGGCAGTTCACAGGACAAGACATGCTCCCACAGGACCTGTGTGAGTTGACTGCAGACTGACTCACTGATGACAAGTAATGGACACTGGGGATGCAGGGTGGTCAGGGGGCTTTAGGCCCAGGGCTGTGGCTTGCTGGAGCCCAGCAGTGAGGGATGTGAGTTGCACTACCAGGCCAGTGGTCACTCTGCCAACTTCCTCACATCACCCAGAGGCTCAGCCAGTCTGAAAGCCCTGAGTGCTGTGTGGCCAGTACACAGAGAGCAGAAAGGTATGGATTCCTCTTTCTGCTTAAGAATGAGGGCTTGTGTCCCACTGTGAGTGTCTCCTTCACTGTGTTCCTCACAGAATGAGAAAAAGGACAAATTTCTATCTGAAAGGGAATTTCCCTGTTCTGCAATCCCTGACCACCACCCTGGGTTGGCAGTGGATGAGAGGGAGAGGAAGGCCCCCTCCCACTGGGCCTGGACATTGGTGGGACTAGAGTCCCCTACTAAGGCAAAGCTCAGGGTCTGACCCTCCCAGCTTGCTGTGTGGAAATGAAACTGTGGCTCCGGCTCCAGCTCAAACTGGCCCAGAAACCTAGAGATGTAAGGCTGGACTTGGTTCCCAACCTGCTCAAATCACACATTCTTCTCCCAAGTTTGTGATTCTCACTGCTGTTCCAATGACCAAGGACAGAGCTATGGACCATTTCTAACTCCTTTCTACCACAGACTATGAAAATCTGAGCACCAGTTTGAAAGGACACCCACACAGACAAGTGCACACACAAACACACACACTCCACCTCCTACATATGCAAACTGTATACGTGTAAACCACACACATACACCCCACACACACAACACACACATAGACTCCAGGTATGCAAAACACACATGTGCAAACCAAACCATACCTTCCCTATACAATACACATACATTCATGCAAGCCACACACATGATAAACACAACAAACACACACAAGCAAACCACACACACAAATACATACAAAAGCAGAGCTAAGGCTTCTTTGTAATTCTAATTCAGAAATATAAATTGTTCATAACTGATGGGTATATCTATATCTAGATCTATATCTAGATCTAGATATAGATATATATACATGTGCATGAGAGGGAGAAAAAGAGACAGAGATAGAAAGAGAGAGGGACAAAGAGAGAGGTAAAAGGGTCCAAGCAGATTGATCTTGCCCAAAGGTTCTGGATTTCAAAGTAACCGTGTCACCTCCAGGTTCCTGGCAATGGGCCAACATTGAATGAGATTTGAGACCCAAAACAGAGCTCTGTTCTGCTTTGCCAGACTTTGGCCCTAAAAGCAATTTTGTCAACTCCCAGTCCCATAACACATTTTATGAGCTATTGATACCTTCATGTGCCCAGGGCCCTGTAAGGTGGCTGTCTACAAACTGCAAAGGAAAAGTGCTACCATTTTGGTCTGAGGTGACTTCTTGTATGATGACTGGTCAGGTAGATGTGGCTTCTGGAGGCCAGTTCTTCAGAAAGCCAGCCACCAGAAACAACCTGTGGTTTCCAGTCAGTTCCCAATATGGTCATCCTAGGTGTTCCAATGACAATGCTGGGGTCCAGGCCTGAACTCCACTTCCCAAGTGGACCAC